AAACCATTGTCTATATATAACCAACAAAATCATGAGCGACAACACAGGCCTACCCAAAAAAAACTGTCCCGGCTCGTTTCATCCAAAGAGAGACATGAAGGCGTCCAGAGAGATACAGGCGCAGTGGTACTCATTGTTGTGTTGGCCATTCTACTTGACGTGATGAAACATGCAGATACGATGATGTTGAACAGCATGATGCCGAGTGATGTCGAAGAGGATGAAACCAGGGAAGCCGGCTGTACGATGGCGATATTGTGCGCGACGAGGTCGATGATGGTGATGCTTGATCAGTAATGAATGCCTGGTATTGAGGATGACGGTCATCACGGTGTTGAACATGATGAGAAAAGGAATGATGGTGGCGACTATGACGCAGGATAGGCCTGAGGTGATGATCGTGACGACGACGATGATGATGACGACGATGATGATGATGGTGGTGAGGACGCTTTCAACTTGCACCACAGCACACTGCTATCCGACACGCCAGCGAGAGAGCTTCTCAATGATGATGTGATTTCGGTGAGGATGTTAAGGGTGAAGAGAAGAACAACGCGTTATCATGAGGATGATAACGATGACGACGATGGTGATGTCCTGAGATCCTGCTGACGACAGTGATGAGGGTGAAGAAAATAGCCATGACGGATGCACCAACTTTAGAGGGCCTCTTTCCCAGACATCAGTGTCAGCACTATGGATACTCCAGCTTGCAGTTTCGAACGTGAGGATTCGGTGCCGGACGCTTGGGTCTTGAGTGCTGCGAGGCATTTAGGGTTTAGGGTTTAGGAGGGTTTAGGGGTTTAGGGGTTTAGGGTTTAGAGTTATTTCCTTACCGGAACCCATGACTTCTCTTCCGACGTGGGATCCTAAGGAGCAACCGGGAAGCGAAGGATATGCTTAGCATTCACGGCTCGGTTCAAAGAATAAGCCCGCGCCAGCTTTCAAGCCTCGGGTCTACTGTCTGTGGCCGATTTAGACTTCAGGGTTGAGGACTAGGGTTCTCGGGTTTAGGGTTTAGGGCGTGAGGGTTGACGGCTGACTTCCCACGTTGACAATCCAACTTTACAGTCTTTACCATGAGCTCAAGGAAAGCCACCGACATCATCCACCGATGCGGACCGCGATCCTTGTGCGCTTGCAGTCTTCGTCAAGATTGCGGGCCATTTTGGGCTTTGGGGTTAGAGGTCTGGTGTTGGACCCTCAAATCAAAGCTCCAGCACCGACAACACAAGGCAACACCTCGCACTGCCAAGTTTCCAAGTCTTAGCAGAACGGAGCTTTCGAACCCAAGCAACCCACATCCCCTAAAATTTTTCACGGGTACCTATAGCACCCCACAACCGGAAAAGAATGCCGACCGGAACTGTTCAAGGAACACTAGCAGGAGCGACAAGAACTCTGCTAGCAACAAGGAATACCCCAATACAACAGTCACACACATCACAAAAGAGAGTATCGGTGGAAACAACAACGCCAATCAAGCTTTGAATGGATGATAGTGCAACGGCCGTCATTGTGTTTAACCCTTCCGACAGGAACGACAAGGAGCATAGCCGAAACGACCATAAAGATGAACAGCGCTGACAGTACTGATGACAACAAGTCATGATCAGCCCCGTTACCAGTTTCGATCATATTCGCCACCAGCAACCATCATATCAGCCTTACGACTGATGATACAGCTGTCGTTACCATTTTTGCCTGGCACTATGAGTTCCATTGCAATTACCACCATGAACACTCACCACCACCAGTACTATCAGCAATCATCTCGCCTCTGACAGCCGAGGATGCCAGCTTAGACAATGCAACAGGAGTCACACCATCACCATTTACACATCCATACCGACGAAATCTGCATCAACAGATACATCATAACCGCTAGCATAGCCCACATGACTCCGTCACGAGCACCATGTGACCGTTCTGCTTTCTGTTACGGCCATCATCATTACCACCATCATTATCTTTCTCATTGAAAAGACTACGGTAACAACACACGTGATTTCACACATGGCTCGCAAATAGGCATGTGTGCATGTGTATATACGTATATTTCTATATCTACATGTATATATACATATGCATACGCATATGCATATGCATATATATATATACACATATACATATACATATATTTGTATGTTATACATATACATATACATATACATACACATATACACATACACATACACATACATATACATATACATATACATATACATATACATATACATATACATACACATAATATGTGCATATATCAAACGTGTATATATATATATGTATATACATATATACATTTGATATGCACATATTATGTGTGTATATTATATTATAATATATTATAGTATAGTATATTATATTATATTATAATATTTTTGCTATATTATATTATATTATGTTATATTATATTATACAATACTATACTATACTATATACTATAATATATTATATATTATATTATAATATAATGTATTTTAATGTATTATATTATATTATATTATATTATATTGTATTATATTATATTGTAATAAATTATATTGTATTGTATTATATCATATTGTATTGTATTATATGATATGATATTATATTATATTATATTGTATTATTTTATATTGTATTTTACTTTAATATTATATATATATATGCCTGTACACATGCACTTCTACATGAAGCCCAGAGAACGCACACACCACACAACCAATCAACAACCCCACCACCTTGAAGCCCATAGGACCAGCAATGAAGGCTCAAAAAACTTGAAGCCGAGAGGTTTTACTATTTTTGGGAGATCGGGCGTTCATCCCAGAAGTTTTGAAGGGCCCGTTGAACGCAACTACGCACTGCAACCCGAAGACACGGTCCTGACCCTGGGCCCCTTAACCTTTTGGGGTTTAGGGTTTAGGGTTTAGGGCTTAGGGCTTAGGGCTTGTCTGACAAGTTAGTGAAACTTTGTTACACTGCGATTGCAAGACTCGTGATGTGCTTGGATCCGGGCCCATCCATCCCACCATCATTTGGGCTGGTGAGCGTCTTCCGGCTTTCACATGGTGTCGGGATTTGAGTACAAGGATTACTGTAGAATATGGCACCTTCAGCTCAAAGCTTGGAGCTGATAGCTTCAAGGTCAAGGCTACCGTGAGTTTTTGTGTCTAGGGTTTAGGGTTTAGGGCTTAGGGGTTCGGGGGTAACTTGGGTCTCACTAAAACAATAGGTGTTTATGTAATCAGGACACATGCTTGGCGCGATGGTAACAATCTGTTTCCAATCATGTGCATCATGATCATACGCCGCATATGCCATGGTAGGACCATGGTAGGACTGCACGCAGGAAAGCAAGTTCATGCATTGGCTGAATCGTTGACCTGGCACGCATCTCACTCAATCGAAATTCACAGTTCATGGACACCGTTAATCAGGTGGATGCACCGTGCAACACGCATAACGAAGTCGCAGCTGGAAGCTTCAACACTAAGACTTACATGGACGATATGTTGCGTGCATGCACATGGCCCATGAAACTGTGAAGGTCATGTACGACGCGCGCTGGAAACAACACGTAGTCTCATGTAGCTACTGTGCTTCTCAGTTGGTTGAAAGCCGTTGTCGGACGTGTAGACAGGATTGCACATTGCTCGGAATCTCATGCGAAAACCGTTGCCGTCAAGAACGACAGTACCTCTCCAGCACGTCAAGATTTGCGCGATGCATGCACACGGCAAAGGTACGATGCAAGCACGGTTTTCGAACAGTTTCATGTTTCACCATCTGCTTGATGCTTCAGAACAACAGAGTATGAGAATAAAACGTTGTTGGTCGCGAACACACTGTAACCCAGCTTCCGAACATGCGTTTGTAAACCCGGTGCCTAACTTGAAAATGCTGCAGGCAATCAAACAATGGAAAATTTCGTCATGCGTTCCATGTGGCCTTGCTCCACAAAACGCCCAACCGTCTTCACAGTCCACAGACTTGTTTTTATGCAGAGTCTTGAACATGTTGAACCAATTGCATGCAAAGATAAGACCCACAGATGCATTCCTTTGAACACGCTTCCAAGCTCCCATCCGGACATTTCTGGACTCAAGTCATGGCGGCCTTTCAGGTTCCACGCTCGCAGACTTTGCTGCAGCGTCGAACTTGTCAGAGCAGCTCAAAACACGGCCGTAACTGCAACAAACAAGCAAAAAATCTAACATGTTGCAGAGCTCAAAGCGAAAAATGCACACCGCAAAGGACTTGATGGTCAAGTCCAGGGTTGTAGGGGGTTCGGGACTGGGGGCAACCGGGATGCACAAGACGCACAGGGCACTCACGCAGCCTAGTTGTGATTTTGGCTCTAAGGGATGAGGGCACCCGGGGTTCTGGACTAGGGTAACCCATGCGCACCGGGGTGACAGCGCAGCAGGGCGAGCTTGACGTCGGAACCTGTCTCAGCAAGCACTCGAGCCGCCCACAAAGCATCGAAGTCATGGTTGCGCAAGTAAAAGAGGCGCCTTACTAATTAGAATGGGGTTTCGGGTATTTTCTAGCACACCTACAAGAACCCCAAAGCTTTAAGGAATAATAGTGGGACTTTCTTTTGGTTCACGGCGAATGCAGAGATGTTTAATCAAAAAGACCCTGCCAAGGCGACGCTGCTTGGGGGAGCAGCCACCTGTCACGGCTCCCAAGGCTCGACGGTCCTCATGCTATACTGTTTAACTAAAACATACTGTCGAAAATCTTCTACCATATAATATAGAATCTTCCATATGTTATATACGATATATATATATATATGTAACTATATGTACATAGAAATTTTTGATATATCATGTATGATACATAATATAATAGAGAATATGATCCAGAAAATACAGTGAATAGTACTGAAGCAGCCCGACCCTGAGCATCAAGCTGACCGCATTTTCCTTCAGCGGGCTGGGCGTCGGTGCATTGGCATTTCAGGGGTATCCGTCAGCCATGGAAGAGTGCTCACACAAGCAACACTAGCTGGCTGATGAAAAGGAGGCTGAAGCCTGCACTAATTCAACTGCACGCGGGGAGCCCGTCCATGAACCTCTCTCTTCGGCGCGCCCCGATGCCTCCTCAACATCTCGCGGCCGCCATACCAAGAAACAGGGAAAGGCAGCAGCATAGACGGTGAGTACCATGCAATACCACGGCCAGATACCGTCCACCAGGATATAAAAGGCTTTGTGGCTCATGAATGCGAGCAGCGACCACCAGTTTAGCCAGACCATGTGCCTTCGCCAGCTTTGGGGGAAGGCGAGCTTGTCGGGGAGGTTGGCAACCTGGGCTCTTGCTGAAGGCTTTCATTTACCTTACTATTCAGGGACCCTGTGGTTTCCTTCCTATGGCAACTTAAGCCACGTCCCCTTAACAAGAGCCCAGCTACGGGGATAGTGAGGAAAGCCATGCAAGCGATGAGCTCCCCCAGGTACATTCGCCCCCGGTCGTACCAGGAGTCCCACGGGTACTGGTCCTTGCGGCCGAAGATGCCCGGCCGCAAAAGCAGGCCGCAGCAGACCAGCAAGAAAGGCCAGAGCTTCGTCATGAGACGCCCGATCGCCTCAGGGCGAAGACCTGGGACCCACCAAAACCTCTTAGAAGGAATGGGGGAAGAGGGAGAGGGCCCTAAACCCTAAACCCTGGGGGGGTCCTTCTTTAGAGACATCCCGCCTCCTGACCAAACATGGGCACCAACTTGGCGGTGAAGGCCCAGAAGAAGAGCTCCCCCAGGTGCAGCTCGGGGCCCAGGGGTCGGGGCTGGCGGCGCCAGAGCCGGGTGCTGTAGAGGAAGAGCCATGACGCATGGCCCATGAAGCCCTTCCAGCTCATCCTGGGTTAGGGGATTTAATTTTCAAGTTACCAGAATAGAGAAGCCATACTATTTACTGTAGATCCCCATTTTGGTAACTTAAATTAAATCCCTTAACAAGAACCCAGCATCGGCAGATATTCTGCAAGCACACAGAGCATCAGGATGTGTAGGAGACACTCCGTCACCGGGATGATCACATAATCCGTTGCCTCCTTCAAGCCCCGCTCGGACTCGTTGAGCAGCGCTTCCGTCATGATTGCAAGGAGAAGGCAGAGGGCAAGAGTCCCGAAGATGCCAACGTTCCACCGCGCCCGGCTGCTTGCCTTGCGGTTTAGGGTTTAGGGTTTGGGGGTTAGGGGTTTAGGGTTTAGGGTTTAGGGTTCGACAGGGATCCCTATTCGAAGCAATCTACTCAGCACCACGGAGTATCTAAAGTAGGGGAGACTTCCGAACTCCCCACCCCTCCCGGCAACCCGCCTTCTCAGGTTCGGAAAGTTCCCAGCGTAGCGGCGTGATCAGAAGGCCAAAGAGGGCGAGCTGGAAAGTGAAGCCAAGTTGGAAGGCGACATTCATGGTGGTGTCCTCCCACCAGCGCGGGCTGCCGCGAGCCAAGCATGCTAGCAGGTTCATCAGGCAGCCCAGGGAGGTGTACAGCATGAGCTTTGCGGCGTAGTCTAGCACGCCTCTCTTGCTGACAGCGCACAAGGTGCCGGAGATGAGTTCAAGGTACGGCAAGACCCAGAGCTGGACGGCAAAAACGTTCCACTCTGCATAAGCTTCATTGGAGTGGGTTATCACTACCAGGGCAACACAGATGGATCGCCAAACATCAAAATAGAGGATGTACTCCCTGGTTATCCTTGGCACGGCCCTCACCTCTGCATCCGCCCTTGTCGGCTCTGCAAGAGGATCCGAGTGGGCAGCCCGCTCCGAGAAAACGACCAGTAGCTTTGCCAGTGGGCCGCAGCCTAGCCAGAAGGCCAGCTGAGCGTAGTCCTGGAACTCGGGCCCCCCGGCCATGTCTGGCCAACGCTTGAGCACCAAAGGTGTCTGCGTGCCGAAAACTCAAAAACAGTGCGGGTCCTGGATGCCTCGTCTTTACAGTCTGCACACAGCATACAAATTTTGCAACCGAACACAGTACCCATGCGCGGGGATTCTTTTAAGGCAGGCGACGGGTTTTGACGGACATCCTGCAGCGTCGAACTCCGCCATGC